AAGGGAAGGGAAGGGAAGGGAAGGGAAGGGAAGGGAAGGGAAGGGAAGGGAAGGGAAGGGAAGGGAAGGGAAGGAGGTAGAGTTGCTGTACATTTAAAGGCATCTGAGCTCTTTACTGTGGAAATGCAAGCAAAGTATGAGCAAAGTCAATGGCACTGACCTTCCTATTATTGAAAGACAAGCAAGAGATTCTTGACAGTTTCCAGGGCAAAACAAGGGAGACCTTGCAAACATGTCTCTGTGGGGGCTCTAAACAATAGCAAAGGTTCTTTCCCAGGGTTGAATTTCTCTATTCCTTTGGCACACTTTCACAGAAGAGTTGGGTCCTTTGAGGTTATCTGCAATGTGCTTACCCTCAGAGCACTAACATGCCTGTTAGCTCTGTACCCTCAGCATACTTTTACTATCATTAAAGAGTGATTATAATGCAAAAAGGAAAATCTTGGAGATGAGACACTGGACTGAAGAAAAGCAAGCCTCTAGGCTCTCACCTCTTCTCATGGCTTTTCAGGCAAGCAACATGTATCACATTTCTATTAACCATATATATGTTTAATTCAAAAGCTCTTTGAACAGAGGTTGTTTTTTCCTTGTGTATGTAGGTATAGAATAACAGCATTTTGGAGAAGTGGCCTTGGCCAGAATGCCTTTTAACCATCAGTTGTACACTAAGAAATTTAGCAACTATGAAAAAACAATTTTGCAGGCCTGTCTATTAATAAAAGTATTCAAAACATCATACAGCAACTTTCCTTTTTTTATTCTTTGAGAGTACAGAAGAGTTTTTGGCCATGCTGACTGTCAGTTTCCCAAACACAAGTGCATATTTCTTTGACTATATGCTAGTGATTTCCAGTTGTGTGTGGAAAAAATTTCTTTGCTGTATTGACCTGTTGGGATGAAACTGTCATCAGCAAGCAGGTTGTGAAAAGAAGAGCACATATGGTAAGACTTTGCTGTCCACATCTGCAGAGGCTGCTGGGTTTGGATACAGCTGTGGAGGACAGGGGTATTTTTAATTACTTCAAAGAATTAAAGTAAGACTGTGTTTAGCATCACATTAAGGATGCAAAAGCTTCACGGTGGTGCAATATTCATGGAGGTGAATGACCTGATCTAAACCCAACTGAACTATTCCTGCCTGTTCCAGTAGGCTTCTCCCAGGTGGACAGCTTCATAACAATATTGCCAGCATGGTGTGGGAAGTTTGTATTTCTGAAAAAAACATAGGATTAGTCTTATGCAAGTCTGTAGAGTGAATCATCCTCACTACCTGGAGAGAAAGTATTTGAAATAATTTATACTATTTTAAAAAACCATTTTCCTTATTTACTAAATCCAAGCCTGCTCATCCCTTTGGTATGTGTATCAGCTGTGTTTCTATGTACCACAGCCAACTACTTTCAGAACTTCTGCTCTGCCCAAAAGTTTACTAATAGGGAGGCCAAATATGCTGCTTTAACTGGTTTTGTGAATCCCAGCTCTGCACTGAAATCGTTGTCTGTATCCACCAATTACACCATTCAGCAGTAAGTGCAATTATTCAGTTGTTCTGTTGAATAATGAATAAAATAGGCAAAAGTAGTGAAAAATATGCTGGGCCAAACTCTACTGAGCTACACAAGCTTATCCATATTTGAAATACACAGGACTGGCCCTTTGTGGCAGCAGTGGTTTATCTTCTATGTAATAGTAATGGGGAAAAGAACAAAGTGTATCAGCACTAGAAATACTTTAATAGGACTAGGTTTAAATTTAATTGCCTCATTTTAAATTGAGTTTATCAAATCCACTGTCTTAGTCCAAATTAAAACTCAGTCAACATGCCTGTTGCTCTTCAAAATAGCAAGAGCATTTTTTTTTTCACATGTTAATGTAGGCAAAAGCCATTTCTTCTTTGACTGGGATAAAACATATATGAGATGCACTATTCATTGGCCACTTCTTCCAACCTCATCTAAGAGCACTTGAGTCTGTTGGAAAGTGACTATTTATAAGAAAGTAGACAGCCCCAGACATACTTCTTCTCTAAGTGTAAGAACCTCCTTTATCTAGTTCTCAAGGGGTGAAAGTGAAGATTTAATCAGTCTTTACACGTATATATTTTTTAAATTATTTAAGTTTTATTACTGTTGCACCATTTATACAATTACATATAATTTCAATGCATCCATTGTACATTTTTTTTTTCATTTGTTTTCCAATGAGTGTGTGTTGGTGTCTGTGACACAGAATGGAAGAGAAACTGGAACTGCAATGAACGCAGACTTTTTCATTTCCACTGACCAATAAACAGAACTACAGGTGCACCCAACCACGGACATGCATTAACTCGTCATGAGAAATCTAGGTAGGCTAAGTAGGATGAGAATGCTTTTTACTCCCAAAAAATATTTGGAGAGGAAGAATTGGAGGATTGGCATTGAGAAATATGTGGACAGCTAAGTGGGTTTTGTCTGAAAGTTGGCATTCATCCACTGCTTAAAAAAAAATATTAAAATAAGAAAGGTTGTAAATAAAAAAAAAAAAACACACAGAAAATACTGCTTTCATAAAGATCTGATTGCCTTGGCACAAACCTAGTGGGCAGAATCAAACGCATCATTTCCAAACCCCATTACAGAACAAAAAGAAGGTTTTGATACACTGGTGGAGTGTATTTTCAGCAGTTCAGATACAAAAAATGTGCTGTACTTTCAGACATCCATTTATTTATTTATTTATTTATTTATTTATTTTAATCCAGGACTTGTGTCAAGTTGGCAGAAAGTATACTAGATATTTCCCCACGAAAATACTATTTGGATTCTCCCCCCTCCCTCCCTCCCAACTTGATGGGACATCCTTTTCATTTTTTCTCTTTTTTTTTTATCTCCTTCTTTTCTGGGCAATACGCATTTGCTATTTCAGATCTGAAACAAGTTAGTATAGCCGAAAAAATAAAAAAAAGACACAGGTTGTTTTAAGTGGTTGTTTCAACAGGCTGTCCAATTTAATCTTGCACTGCTATGGTTTGATCCGAATTAGTCGCTGGAACTTCAGAAGGTTTCGCTTCCTCTGGAGGAGCTGCAGGGTCTGAGGCCTTAGCAGTCGAACTAGGTGCTGATGTTGCCACGGGCTCCTTGGAAGAAGGTGCAGCCTCGTTGCTGCTAGGTTTTGAGTCTGAAGCTGGGGCCACTTCACTTCTAGTTTCTTGGGCTGCAGGCATTGTGGGAGCCTCAGTCTTTTTGGCTTCCCCTTCCTCTTTGTTCTTGTCATCTGCTTTACTGGGAGCTGTGGCCTCTGAAGGCTGGGAAGCTTTTGCATCGGTGCTAGGCTCAGAGGGTTTGGGTGCTTCGCTACTGGCAGCAGGAGCAGAGGCAGCAGTTGGCTCCTCTTTCTTGGGTGCCTGTTCAGTGTTCTTCTGTGGCTCTACTTTTGCATCGACAATAGCCTCTGACTTCTCAGGTTCTGTTTTCTGGGTTTCTTCCTGGGTCACTGTTTTCTCCTTCTCCCCTTCTTTTTCTTCCATCTTATTGGCAGTGACCTGAGTATCCTTTTCTCCCTTCTCCTCCTTGTTGTTCTCCTTCACTTCTGTGGTCTCTGTGGTTTTCTGGGCACCCTCAGCCTCCTTTGGAGTCTCCTCTTCCTCAGTCGCTGCTCCTTCAGTCTTCTTGTCTTTGTCTTTAGCTTTTTCATCATTGACACTGTATCCCTTCTTCTTCTTGCTCAGTTTGCCTCCCATGCTGGAGCTCTGTAACAGAAAAGAGAAAGGGGTTGATTATACAAAGCCCAGTATTCACCACTGAGCGAATCAACAGAGTACAAAGGAAAAATTGACTCTGGTTGCTGAAAGGGAGACCACATGAGGTTTGGTAAGATGTTGTCAGCTGAATGTACTGATGCTGCAGAGCACCACTGCCACTGAGCTTACATCCTGCTCAAACCAGCAGAATTTCAGTCAGCAAATACCCTTCTACCACATCCCCTTACAAACAGTCCTGTGAGCACCTCTAACCCTGGTTGCAGTTCAGTAGGGAGGAAGGGGACAGAGTAACAAGAAGTTGCAGGACAATGGAGGACTGACATACAACCACAATCTTCTGTGGCCTAAGAGTAGAAGTAGAAAAAAGACATATTTATATTCCGGTTGGGGATTAAGTAAATTTGGCTATGAATCGTGACATCCACCCCTGGTTAACACAAAGTCCAACATCACTTTAGCAAAGGCTCTGAACCACCTTTTCATTAGGGTTTGGAGAAATCAAATGAAGCCTAGAGTCAGTGAGAAGGCTAACGCAGAAGCCTGCATCTACTCACTATGCCTCGCAGCCTGTTACTTTCAGAGCCAGTTTTTGTAGAAAGCTGATGGTACCAGGGGCCAGGAGCATGTGCTTCCCTCACCCAGAGGGATGTGGGCACCCACATCCGGCAGCCCCAGAAGCAGGAACAGCTCCCACGCATAGTCCCACCCAGCTTTGCAGCTTCCATAGGGATTGCCTGCCCAAAGCCCTACATTCCCACACTCAGCAGGATGGGAGACATGAGTCTGAAGTACAGCAAGACCACTCCATAAGACAAGACACAAATACAAGCACTTCTGACTACAAGCTTATATGGGGCATGTGACCTGATGCAATAAAAAATGGGAGAAGAGAGGAGCATATTTGGAGCCTCTGCTCCCAGTTTTCAAGCATGACACGCAATAACTGTTATTTAGAAGCTGACCATGTGTATAACCATATCAGTATTTATATAGCCTTTATGTGGGAGTCTTAACTAAGAATACACAAAATCTTTCACAATACTTCAAAGCAAACTTTGTCTATGAAAACAGGAGACACAGATATGTTGGATCATTATTGAAAGCAAAAACTCTATGAATGGAGAAAAAAATACATTTTTATTATTAAATAAAATATTTAATTCATGATTAGTGAAAGGTTAAGAAAAATATTTCTGTGCTTTCTACTATTTGAAAATAGGAGATGGTGACTTTTTTCAAAGAATTCTCAAACAAATGTTTAATGTAAGAACTTCTCCAAGGAAGATGAATCATTCTAATTTTCTGTTTTGCACAGGTAGATATAATTATAGGCTGTATTTTTTTCACACACTTGCTAAAACTGTGAATACAAATGAGTAAAAATTCATATGATTGCTCATAGCAGGCTGAATATAAAGTAATATTACATACAACTAAGAACAAGCTGCCTCTCAGTAGATTATCTGCTACCACAGACACAAGCCCCAGGCAGAGCCCCACAGCCAAATATCCACAAATCTTGGGCAAAATTGAGATATTATGGTCAGCAGAGATCTTTCTGACTTCAGTTTTCAAAAAGAGTAACAATTTGCAAATACTGCTGAAATGTTATCACACAGCCCTGCAAAATGGTCATGTGATGTTACTGAAACACTGCTTTATTGTCTGAAATTTTAGAGGAACAGCAATAAAAGGATTAACTTCCATAGAGTCACAGCTGAGCAATCTAATCTCTACCTTCATGACAGAGTTATCAGGTATTTAGGGGAAACTGTGGACATTAGTTCATTATCTGACAAGTGTATAGCGTTCCAGATTACTCCATAAATATTGCCCTGATTATTGTTCATGTGCAATTTCAACCAAATATTTTGAAAGCGCTTTTTCAAGTCAGTCAGATTGGAGATTTATATTGAAGCTATGTGTGAATCCCAATTTGTAATCTCTAATTAAGCCTTTACTTTTTTTCCAACAAAGCCCAGGTACAGTGGGCCTAATTTCATTTGTTGTGTCTTTGGCATTTTTCAAGATTTTGCTATTTCACGGATAGTAGTAACATACCACATTTTATACTTCTTTCCGCAACAATATTTTGGCCTCAGATATAGCTGGATACAGAATGTCTATGCCAAAGGACCTTTAAAAAATAGAGAAGCATGCATATGAGAAATGCGCTCCCAAACTTTGATTGGAGGTACACTGTGAAATCTGTGTCTCAATTGGCATCACAGCCAGCTATTTTAAGGTATTGGAGCAGGAGATGAGGAAGAGGTTCAGAGACTATAATTATGGTCTATTAGCAAATATTTACATTGATAAATGGACTGTCATCTTCCAGCAGAGTTTCAACTACTTTATAACAGAATAAATTCACTCTTTGGGATGCTGAATCTCATATCTCCCTGTTAAAAAGCTGCCTAGATCATCATGATAACAGCTATGCCAGGCTACGATGCAAAAGCAGAGTAATCATTGGGGTTATCACCCAGGTAGCAATGCTACCAAGTCTCTTTTTTCCCAGATCTGATTTGCAAACATTCCTCCTGTCCCCAGACTTCTGATAACACATCTGGGCTTCCCTGTAGCCTTTTTTAGAAACAGCCCCACATGCTCCACTTCTTCAAATAGATGCTGGTCTTGTCTCTGTCCCAGCCTGAAGCACAGCTCTGAACCATCCAGTGCAGAGACTAAAGGTGTGGCAGACACAAAGCAGGCCTTTAAAAGTATTTTAAAATTACAATCATCTATACCTTCAAGAAGACCAGCATGTGAACCTCTACACCTAAGTGTCTCTGTGATTGTGCTGGATATTGTAGTGGGGATAATCCTGCCTGGTACTAAGTGAAAGTGAATGTCAGTGAAATGTCTCCCAAGTGAAGCAAAGTGCAAAAAGCCATTGAGATGTGAATTCATACAGTGTTCAATCCACTCTGTGTTACTACCTACATGTTAACACTTGAAAGAGTACAGACATCTTTCCCATCCCCTCGCCCCACCAAAGGACTAAATTATGAAAAAAATAATTAAGGGGATGCACCCTCTCTTCCAGTGAGACTGGGGTCCTGGCTTCACTGCTCAGCCTCTTCCATTACCCCTGCACCTCCCTAACCCCATAATCACTGCATTCACCTTGCAAATGATGGACCCAGGACCAAAGTTTGCCTACAACTATTGACCACTATTTAGAAACTGAACCCCAGTAGGTCTTCACTTATTTTCACTTTCACTAACAGGTACAGGTTTTGAGATATCTTAAGCAGCTGCCAGCTGAACATAATGATCTCTGTAGCAAGCATGTTCCAAATGAAGATCCTTGAAAATTTTGGTGCTGAGCACCATTTGTATAAAAATGGCACAGCATTTGATGACTGTGCCTTCTTACTGCTATAAAGAAAAGGGTCTAGAGAGAGAAAGATAGAGTCTAGAAACCGGTTTTCTATAAGGAGTTGCAATATATCAGTAATTTTCAGGGAACTTTGGTGAACAGCTCTGCAGATCAGTACTTCAGAATAGTGAGGGAAAATATAATTGGAAGCTATAATAGACTTTGTCCGCTTCCCAGGCTGGTCAATATATTTTGTATTGCTCTTCTTATGGAAAAAGAAACTAAACCAGAGATCACCGTGTCTGACATTAGAAGAGCTACTCCCTGCAACAGAAGCAAGGATTTCTTCAGTTTCTAGAAGCTTTTATACATTTTGCACATCCTGAAGTTTCCATTCTCCTGCAGGAAGCAGGAACAGAACCAGAGAAGTCGCATAGTTATCTTTCTTATTGTATAAAAATCTCTGGGGTGGATTATTTAGATTAAAACATTTTGGGTGTACAGGTCACCTGGAGAATGTTAAGCACTTTGAAATTTCCATATTTGCGACAATCAAGACTCAAAGATTCAATGTCCATAAGACCATAATGCAAGAGGAAGAAGAACTCATGGAACATTTCAAATTCTGAAGACTCATAGACATGAGTCCCTGGAACATGAGCAGCACAAATTTGTACAGTTTCTAAAAAGAATTATTATTTGGAAGTTTAATACTTCAAATTTTTCTTCTATATTGAAAAAGACCCTAGAGTCAGACTCTTATTATCTCTTTAGTCAGTAAAAATTTGTCTGCCCAATTAGTTTTATGTGTTTATAAACTTCTAAACATTTATTTTAGCGGAGGATTTCACACACCATTAAAGAGTCTCATTATTACAAGGCTAGGTTTGCTATCACCCTCCCTCACAGTACTGCGAGCGGGGCAACAGGAAAGGACAAACTCACAGATTGTGCCTGATGTTACCTCAGTCTGATTGCCAAAGCTAAACTTCCAAAGCTCCTGTTCAACTGCATTTGGGAGTTCAGTCCATTGCCAGAAAAACCAGTTCAGGAAGACAATAGGTACCTCTGAAATTCCACTGCCTCCAGTGTAGGGCAGGCATGTGTGGTGGGTCAGGCCAAAGTAGCCCTTGCACAAGCCTGTTCCCAGGCATGAGTTATCTCACACTGCCTGCAGACAAAAATGCACATTCCATGAAAGGCAGGGTTTCAGTGCTCCAAATCAAATGAAATACCGATGCCCAGAAACTGCCCCAACTGCCCAGGGGCTGAAAAGAAATAGAAAGCTTTTGAAGAAACTATTACCTCTCTGTACCCCATTGATTCACCCTACACCTTCAATAAAAAAATAAAATTTTAAAAGGCAAAAAGTTTTAATTAAGGGATACATATGGGAACTGAAAGAAACAAGGGATATGCAAATGCTGGTTTTGAAAGATTTTCTGGAATTTTTATGAAAGAAAAATACCCAAAACTTACTGCTTCTCAAAATATGCAGTAGAATTTCATGCTCCCCATTATACTTACACACACTCAAGAGACATTCCTATCCTTGCCAGGTCAATCGGTTTTCCAGGTTAATGTTAGAAAACGCCTGTTAGCATAATCTCAGATAGATTTGCTAGCTTTGCTTTTTAGCAACAAGGTAATGTTTTTCTGTTTT